AGTTCATCTGGGCATGGTGCATAGCCATGTAATGCATTCCAGCACATTGTTTGTTCAGGCAGGTCCCATCTCAAATAACGTAAGATCCTTGTGATGGGAGTTGTCAGTCAGATAGATACTGCAATATCTGCAGATACTGCAATGTCAGAAACTATTTCTCAAACTCTGTCCAAGTCCATCCCTCACTAGGAACCCATCAATACCAAGAGTGAAGTCCACCCATATCCAGGCTGCTGATCCATGCAAAGTCAGAAGGAATTTAAATCCCAGCACTTTCCAAACCGGGAGATGCAAACTGAACAATTTGACTTAGAACAGTCAGTTTGACCTTTGAGCTGTAAATAAGAGACATTTGCGAACAGGTGAGGAAGCAAGCCTTAAGAAACTCACCACCACATCACCCTCCTGAGGAAGGTTGTTTGCTGGTAGCCTATTTTTCTCCTCATTGTTATAGTAAAGAGCTCCATCATTTCTCATCACCAGGCTGTGGACATCTCGACCAAGTGGAATTTGATTCAAGTTTGCTTTCTGGGTTGCAACTCCAATACCCCAAATCCCTAAAACGTGACATTAACACAGTAAGAAAAAAAATATGTTATTTTGAAGACTGAAACAGGACAGATAAAGAATTTGTTTTTTAAATTAATGCCATGATGGTACTACCAGTAAATATCTCCTGGGAATATCAGAACTATTGTAGGTTAGCTCTGCTAGCTCTAGCAGCTGAGCATCATCCAGCCAGTCATTCTCTCCCCCCTCTAAGCCCCCATGGAATGGAGGAAGAGGAAGGGAAGAGTAAAACCTAGAAAACTTGTGGCTAAAAATAAAAACTGTTTAGTAAGTAAAGCAGAAGTGAAAGAGACAACAAAACTAAGTGATGCAATGGCAGTCACTAACCACCTCCCATGGGTAGACTGATGCCCTGTCAATTCCCAAGCAAAAGATGGCTCATCTCCCTAAATCCCCTCCTGTCCTAAACAAGACAGGTGTTACGTGGTATGGAGTATCTCTTTGGCTAGTTTGGGTCATCCACCTGGATATGTCCCCTCACAAGCTCTTATGCAACCCTAATTGTATTCACTGGAGGGGCAGAGTGAGAAACAGAGGAGGTTTTGATGCTGTGCAAACCCTGCTCAGCAACAGCTAAAATATTGGCGCGTTATCAGTATTGTTTCTTTATCAGTATTGCTTTGGTCACAAATCTAAAACATAGAATCACAGCAGCTGCTATGAAGATAATTAACTTCATCTTGATCAGACCCAGCACAAGCAGCCACAGTAGACTGAAGACAAACAGCATCTATCTTGAAAAAGAAGAATCCCTGAAAAAGAGAATTGTAACCACTCAGCTTAACTTTTATTCCCAGAAAAATATTGAAAACAAACTCTGAGACTGTAGGAGGATACAAAAAATAAATCCAACTAGCATGGATCTGTAAACAACAAATTTTCCTTTTTCAGCTAGTTAGACTAGTCTTGCGGAAGAAAAGAAAGTGTTAATATTATAGATCTTGATATTATTTTTGAAACTCATACAACACTGAAATAGTCAAATGATGAAAACATGGTCTAGACAGTTACAGAAATACGAAGGCACGAGTGGTTAGAAAACTATTCCAGGATTACTCATCAGTAGCACCCTGTCAAATCAAAAGAGACGACTCAAGTGGGGTTTGAGGTTTTGCATTGAATGCACAAGGTCAGATACTGTTCTGTATTCCCATCAATTAGTTGCATAACTTGACAATGTGTTGATTAAATGCGTTGCCAATCCCAGCCTGACAGGACTGCAAGCTCTTGAGAGGCCCCTTGAGTTTAAAGTGATCCTCACTAACTGGTTAGAAATAAAGAAAGTGCATCCGTTTTCACTAAATTATGAAGAAGAGCAGGTAAGTAAGAACACTAAGTGTCACAAGTACAGTAGTGGCTTGGTAACCAGTTCACAGACCACTTGCTGAGTGCAAGTGCACCCTACTGCTGTGGAAAACTTCTGGATGTGTGGCACGTATAAAACAGATGAGGTCATCTACTGTTGCTGCAGCTGAAGCAGAGCATCCATTTTAAGCACTGTACCTCAAGACAGATTAGACTGACTAGAGATATTGTAGAAAAAAACGTAAAACCAATCAAAAGTGTAAAAACTTCACCTATAAGACAACAACGAAAAAAACCTCAACAAGCTGGGGCTGCTTAGACTAGAGAAGACTAAAATGAGGCAAAAATGTAAGAAACTTATATTCAAAAGATGAAACTGTAGAATAATTTATTCTCATGCTAAGAATGAAAAGGACAAGTGTAATTTGACTTCAGAAAACTTTGCAGTGGTCAGGATGACCCCACAGATAACCTCTAATTGACTGTGCAGGGACACTTCTGAAAATCAAAGATTTACTTTATGTCTTCTAGAGTTCTCCTGCCTTGGAGCATGGGAATAGAGGAAAAAAGGCTCACAGGGACCATGAGAGTTTATTTCCTGTGTTTCTCAAGTGTAAGAACATGGATACGTATCTATGTGAATAGTGACCATGTATGAACACCACCTGCAACGGGTTCTTCCCAACGTAAAGGCTAATAAAATTGCCAATTTAAGATGGATATGGGCTTACATGTAGCTTAAAACTAACCAGCTAGCTGGACTGCAAGGTGTTGTGGGCAGATCTGTGTTCATGCTGCCTGCACTCCCACCCACCTGAAGGCAAACAACTCTTACCCAAAAAATTTCAGCATCAAGCTCCAGCTGGTAGGTAAGGCCTGCCTCTGGACTAGCACTTCCAGTCTTCTTCCTTCCCCACACACACTTAGAGAATGCACAACTTCATTTTCAGAGCATCTGCTAGCAGCTTTTAAAAGTACAGGCTGATTTTTCATGCTAGAATACAAGCAAGCCTGGAGTGCTCTCTTTGGTACTGAAGCTGACCATATTTGTAGGAGCAAAATAAAGGAACAAGGTGCTGAAAGGCTCCTCTGGATAAGGCAGTGTCAGAATAAGTGCTTCACACTTGATCTGAATAGCAAAGGGTAGCACAAGGAGCATTACCCTTGTTTGGGCAAACAGTGCCTGCTAAGAGCAAATAAGAGTAGACAAACAGATACAAATACCACTGGATAAACTGCACTCCTTTAAAAATACTTCGTAGCTACAGTGTTTTATGGGGTCATAAGCATTTATTGAGCAAAAATAATTTCTAAAATATGCCACCTGAAAAACATGGCTATAACAGCATACAAAACAATGCAGGGGCTTAGTATTTGCACTCCTCTAGTAATACACTTACTATTATTCTTAATATTTTAGAGTAAAAATTAAAAAAAAGAAAAAAAATCATTTCCTTTCACCCAGTAACTTATAAATCTCTCTAGTGTTCACAAGTTCAAGAATGCAATTAGAAAGATGCATGTGCCAAGCATTTGAGATATTTCCACCAGCAGGCAAGTTTAAAGTTGTATATTTTTTTCTGACTAACCTGTGGACTGGATTTTAAACTCAAAATAGCTCTTGTTCTGATGCAAAGGTGCATTGGCTAAGCAGCCTCCCGTGCCACATATTCTTCTGCCATTCTTAACAATGACGACATCTGTTCCTGCAAGAAAAAAAAATCCACAGAACTTCAAAACATTTTTAGAAATCTGAAAACAGCCTCAAAAGCTCTAAACATTGTGACCAGTTTTTGCTACTTCTGCCCCAAGTAAAAGCTTCATTAGTCTGTGAAAAATATGATGATGGGCCTTGCTTTGAAGCAAGAGAAGGAAGGTCGTTTACAGAGTAGTTCATCTTTCCACTAGGGTATATTCATTTAAGATCTATAAGCTGATCTAATTTTCACCTCTCGGGCTTTATGGCACCATGCTGATTACAACCTTTGCTTAGCCACATCAGAAGCATAACTTACAATTTAGTCAGAAAGGGTTCACTGTGAGACCAAAGCCCTGAACTCTGTTCTCTAACATCGGAGAAAAAGCATTCTGTAACAAAAAGGAAAAGCATATCGGGTAGAAATGATTGATGGAATTGCAAGGCGTTTAGTTAGTCTCTGAAACAGTCCCTCTATTAGAAATGTGCCTGCCAATACAGAGAGAAAAAACATCCTCGGGTAAATTTTCCTTCTCCATTGGACGACTTCATCCTTAGGCACTGTTGTCCTCCCAAGCACATGGGATGCTGTGGCTAACAATTGTGCTCGAGCACTGGACCATACCTATTCCTTCCCAGCCCTCTCCCCACTCTGCTGCTGCTGGCCCTGAACCCTTCTCTCCCCAACAAAGCCCGGGCACGGTTCTGTGGGTAGCTCAGGGTAAGGGGTGATTCTCAAAAGAGCAGGACAAGACTGCATGGCCTCGCTCCTTCTTCATCTCCACTGCCCTGACTGGAGGTGGAGTCTCCGTCCCTGGAGATGTTTAAGGAAAGGCTGGACGTGGCACCTGGTCGGGCTGACATGGTGGTGTTGGGTCACAGGTTGGACTCTATGACCTCAGAAGTCTTTCCCAACCTCAAAGATTCTGTGGTTCTGTGAACTCAGCCCCTCGGCTCAGAACCACCCCTGCCCAACCTGCTCACGACAGCCCCCCCTCGGGCACCTCACACACTCATTGTGCCGATAAACTGCACTTAAACCCGAACTACTTTAAGCCACTTTTAAAACCAAGCTTCCTTATTTTTCTTTTTCCTTAAAACTACCAATTCCTGCTAAAGAAGTAGCCCCAAAATGACTTTCCCAGCGGTTACCCCGTGCCGCGCCCCGGGGCTGCGGCCCTGCCCGCCGGGGAGCCGCCCGGCGGCAGCAGCAGCCCTACCCCGCTCACCCATGCGCTGCGTGTCCAGGTGCACGGCCGGCATCTCCTTGAGCGGGATGTGCCCGGCGCCGCCATCCCGGCACCAGGAGAAGCAGCAGAACACGGAGGCGGCCATGGCCGGCCGCACCCCCCGCACCGCGCAGGCGCAACGGCCGCCCCGCGCG